TGAGTCTCTTTGAAGACAGAAGTCACATTTTATTGCTCAGCTTGTCTCGGCATATTTGTCTGTGTGTGTATGTGTGTAAATGATAGAAGGATTCTGCACTTCTTACATGTTTAATGAGTTAGAATTCTGTGTTTTATTTGTGTGGTACGTGCTACTCTAAATTAAGGAAAAGGAAGCTTAGTATGTGTTATATGAGTGCAACTGATGCCTGTATAGTTATAAATGAGGAAATACTGTTTTTAGATCAAAGTGATCTGGTTTTCTGATTGTGTAGGATCTGAAAGATTCATTGAAAACTTGGAAAGAATTAAATGTGTTGCTTCTCACACATGTCCTTTTTTAAAATGGAAGTAATTCTAGTCATTAGCTGGGGAAATCGTTTGCTTCTGCTTCCCATGTTTTCAATTGTGTGTCTATGAGATAGTTTGAGGTTAAGAAAGACTTGGTGAAATAACTGCTTAGTATAATAGTTTGGATATCATTAGAAAAATTTCTGCTTATTATGTAGATATGTTTGAGGGTGAGCTTTAATAACTTAGAGGTGTTGCAGTGTTTTTAAAGACAGTAACATAGCATAACAGGGTTTTATTTATTATTATTATTATTAACATATAAATACTTTTAGGACCAGCATCTCTTATCTGAAGTATCTGTTGAATTTTCTAGAGTGTTTTAGGTGACTGCTGTTACAGCTTTTATTCGTACATAACACTTGTGTCACGTAAAGAGATGACTAGCTTATCTATAGTTTCATGCAAATTCTTAAATTGTTAGTACCAAAGTAAGTTTTCATTTGTGTATTAACTGCAGAGTAGCAGAAACATCACACCTATAACAGAATTAAGGGCTTTGCTATGGCCATACTTGTAAGTTTCGTCTTGAATGTGCACTCGGTTCAACCACTGTCTTAGGAATGCTTATTTGTAGCTGGTTCCAGGTACTAATGTCATATCAGCCTGTCATATCAGAAAAGAATTTGGAACATTACTTTTCTGTAGTATCGGAACCAGTTGGCCCCTTCCTGTTCATTAGCTGGTATGCTAGAAGCCCTGAAGCAAGTGGTTGGACTTCATCATAATCATATGGATGCTTAGGATGACAGTCTTCAAGCAAACATAGTTCTTATCCTCTGAAAATATTTCCAGCATTCACAGGAGTACTTTTTGTTAGATTTAAAAAAGATTTTTTTTCTAAATGTCTAAAGCACTAATTTATTAGTTGATAGAAAAGTCAACACTTCTCTCTTTGCTTAAAATGATATTGTGTTCTCACTGCTATTTTGTCTCTTAGCTACGTGAAATTAGTTCCCTCATTAATTATAATTAATTATAATTAATTAGAAGTTAGTTTCTTAAAACTGATTGTGCTTGTGAAGAAGTGTGTATTGTATTTTCCCGTGAAGTAAAATAAGTCCTGCCAATTGTAGTGCACTTTGGAATCTGTTAAGGAGAATGTTACATTTGATACATTATATGTGCCTTATCTTGAAGACCTTGTAAAATTTAGAAATACATTCTGTGTCTTCAAAGACTATGCTCAGAACTTAACAACTATTGGAAAGAATACTCTCAGGGAATTGCTACTTGTGACCAGTCGCAAACCACTTTAAGCTTTGTAAGCATTGGACGAGTTAAATTCTGATTTGGTATGGAAAGGTCTAATATTATAAAATACTGAACATGTTCCAGTATGCACTGAGCTTTTAATCTGAAGGTGACTAAAGGTGCATTTTAACTCCATTTGGAATAATGGATGGCCATTTGCAAGTTGACAAGGAAAATACTGTTTCAAAATCAGTATGCTTTACCAGAGGGAGGCATTGTAGAAGATAGGGCAATTGCTAAAATATTGCAATATGTCAAAGTCAAGACAGATCTAAAGAATCTACTATTCTCTGCAAACTGAATGCGGAAGAACTTCACATGAGTTAGAAGCATAATTAAGAGATCTCGCAACATACCCATTTAAACACTGTTCTGTAGCTCATAAGTCTGAAAAAAAATAGTTATCATTATTTCTGTTTAATTCAAGTTAAAGATGGACATTGAAAATACTTAGTGAACAGTCTGAGGATGAAGGTAAACTTGCTGTCTCAAAATTCTGTTAAATCTTAAGTCAGGTGCCTCTTTGTTCTGGCTTTTTTAATAGTGTGGAATAAGTTTATGTATGCCATTGATAGTCAGTTAAAAAAACAAAACGGGTAACAAATGAGAAAAGGAGCACCACAGAGTTCACAGAATTGACTGAGTCCAGAAACTTGTTTTTCTGTGTTCTCTAGAAACTATCATGAGCATCTAATACTGAAAAATTCTGAAGAGAGATTGATGGGAGTTTGTTTTGTTTTGTTGTTTGTAACATTTTTTTTCTTTCTTTTTTTTTTTTCCCGCCCCAAGAGATCTGAAAAGGAAAAGCAACCAGGTTAAAGACTGCAAAGCCAAAATTGAACTGCTTGGGGCATACGATCCACAGAAACAACTTATTATTGAAGATCCATACTATGTAAGAAATTATTTTGGTAGTTTGATTAAAACCTATGTATATATAGTATATAATCCTGCCAGATTCCACAGTTCTTATGTAATATGAGATGTACATATGTATATTATATATCTATATACATATGTATATTATATGTCTATACGATGATACAATATAAATTATTGGAATAGGAAATGAAAACATGTCTTTATTCATTCTATTTATTATTACTTAGGTAATTTAAGTTCATAATACACCTATATTTTGAATATTCAGTGAAGTCCTCTCTGGTCAATTTCCATGCAAAAAGAATGTAGTCACAAATATAGAGACAAAGACAAGAAAACAGTCAAAGAATTTGAGTACTATCAGCTAAGAGCAACCACTTAAATTAAATTCTTCAGTTTAGGAAAGAGAAGTGGATGAGGATGTGGTAAGGTTCTATAAAATATTAGTATCATGGGGAAATATCAGAAATTGCTATGCATTACATAAGAAATAGAGTACATCAAATAGATTATAGGAGGTAGATTCAAAACAGAGTATTTGTTTCCACACAGTGCTTTTTTAAATAGTGAAACAACATGACAGGATAATGTGAATTTAAAAAAAAAAAAAAAAGAAGAGAAAAGAAACACCCCCAAAAGGCTTGTAAATTGAATGAAAAAAAAGAACACCAAATAACAAAACCGACGGTGAATCAAAGTTCATCCAGGACTGCTGAGCACAAAATCTATTAGTTCAAATTAGGGAGGAAATACATTAAAACTGTCACCATATCTTTGTACTGTTTTTGTTGTTTTATTTGCCATTATTGATAGTAGAAAACACATTTGCAAAATGAGCCAATATTGCTATTCTTACCTTCTTTTTCCTCTTTTTTTTTTTTTTTCTAGGGGAATGAAAAGGACTTTGAAACTGTTTACGAGCAGTGTGTTAGATGCTGTAAAGCATTTTTGGAGAAGCCTCATTAATGTTTAATCGTTCTATTTCTAAAAGAAAATAATTAGCTTCTCCTGAAATATGTAAGCTTTCCTTGATTGATGTATTTAAATTGTAAAATTGCGCTTCCTTAGAAGAACAATTCACAACTTTTTCAGTTTAATTTTTTATTGTAGTTTTTGTCATCTCATTGGAAAAACAGATATTGTAGATGAACCATTTTCTCACATATCAATGTAATAATAAAGTACTTGTTGAGAATAAATTTAATCTGTAAACTCTTACAGTGCTTCCTCAGAAGCACTGAAAAAAAGTCTTGCTTCTTTATGCGCTATACAGAGTCAACAAGAAGTTGTCTCATTGTGCCATTCATGTGTTAGTTGAAGCCAAGTTTCTGCAGGTGTATGTGAAATAATAGTTCATGTATGTTAATGTAGGCTTGTCATCCCAGTATCATTAGACAACTTTCAGAAAGAAGCTTTTTTATATTGAGTCTAGTGAACTAAGGGAACTGCCTTCCAAGGCAGGCGTTGTTCTTAGCACTATTTCAAAGTTCAAGCAAGCAGAACTTGTTAGCAAGATCCTGTGAAAATGGCTTGTTATTTAGGTTTAAATCTTCATTTATCAAAGAAGAAATCATTTTGTGCTGATAGATTTTTATGCTCATTAAGATGAAATCAGTTCAGAGGTGGTCACTGATGATGATCACTAAGACTTCCCTGGTTCATATTCCTTTGGTCTTGGGGCCAATTTGTAGCACACTGCTGTACATAAAGTAATATAGCACTTGCTTTCACAATAGAACAGTTCAGTTTGAAAGTCTAAATGTGAAGTGTATATTTTATATCTCAGGAGTAAAATATTCAAATACATGCTATAATCATAGTTCCTCATATAGTGGCAGATGATATTTTTGTATTTACTCAGGAGAATGGATAGCATGTCAAAAATGTTCTTTAAGAATATCGTTCAACTGGAAGACAGTCTACGTGTAATATAATTTGAAACTATATGAAGGTCAGTAAGTAAGAAGTTATGCTCTTGCACACACAAAAAAATGGAATGCATTATGAAAATCTATTCTTATTTGTCTGAACATCATCCTCAATTTTTGCCTTAGGCAGAAACGTGTCTATGAAATGTAATTAGATGAGTAATGTGACTGATGCCATCTTTTCTTGTTTCAAGTAATGCTGATATTGATGTGAACAAGGATTACTACATGATCTGTAAAACTGTAAAATTTGTTTTCTTATTTACCTATGTTGCATTTATTCTTCTATTTGCCTTCCAAACCAATAGGAATAGCCTCTATATTTGTCATCTAATTTCCTTCTGGGAAAGGTATGCATTTGGATAGAGAAGCCTGTTGCCTTTAGGGTTGAAGGAATCTTAATGTCACTATGTATCTAACTGCAGCCTTTACTATTGAGATTGTATTCCGTAGAATCATAGAATGACTTACATTGGAAGAGACCTCAAAGATCATCTAGTTCAGCCGTCCTGCCATGGCAGGGTTGCCACCCACTGGTCAGGCCCACCAGGGCCCCATCCAGCCTGGCCATGAGCACTTCCAGAGATAGGGCATCCACAGCTTCTCTGGGCAGCCTGTGCCATTGTCTCACCACCTTGAGTAAAAAATTTCCTAACATCCAGTCTACATGTCCTCACTTCTAGATTAAAGCTGTTGCCCCTTGTCCTGTCACTGCCTATCTGCTTGGGGACTTTTCTGGGATTTTTTTGCTGTAAAGCAGCAAGAAAATGTGTTAATGAGATCTCTGATTTTTGTTAAAATTTCAGTTGGGTATAAAACTTAAGAACCTGTTTACAGTAAGGGAAGTGGTAGATGGAACACTTGGATACAGAAACTAGGATTTGTGTGTATTACTGGATTACCAATGATTTTGATTTTTTGACGAACTTGCTAGGACTTTGCATATTAATAGCTGTTTCACTTCAGGGACAAATAATAATATAAACAGTATTTCAGGATAGGTCAAACATAGACTCTGAAAAATATGATTTTCCATTTATTTGATGAGTACTTGAATATGGGGAAATGATGGGCAGTTAGGGACAAAACATCGAAATGAATTTTTTATGCAGCAGCCTCAGAAGTGGAAGTATTTAGGCATAACCATTGTTATTTTCTGCCAAAAAGACCATTTAAAATATGCCGGTGACAGTAATAGACCTCAGACAATTAAGAGCCCAATGGGTTCTGCTTTCCCATTTGTGGCTGAGTAGAAATAGAACCTATAGTTTCCTACACATTGAAGTTCAGATTTAGAAGTCTTAACTCTGTATCTTTGGTCTGCTGGAGTGACAGAAAGGAGATGGGAAGATATGGTTGTTTATCTTTGCTAGGCTTAGGAACTTTTCTTTAACATGATAAGAAATCAAAACTATTTGTGTTAAATTTAGTTCAGATAAAAGTTTGCGGTTTGACCTAAGTTATGTTTTCAGCCAGTACACTGTTGGCTACAGAATTCATCAGTTATGCTAGGAGGTCATTTGTTAATTTATGCTCATTTGTTAATTTATTTAGTCCTTCCTTGGTTTCTTTTGGAGAAAGAGGAGGAGAGCAAAATAGTATGGTAAAGGCATTTGTAGAATGTGAGAACATAGAATAGGAATTGGCTTCTGGAAGGACATCCGCACAGTACCATTATTAGGCTTCCAAAAGAAACAGTGAACATATGATAGACAATTTGTGTATTGAACACTGTGCATATTTACTTTTTTTATGTTATATTTTAATACTGAGTGAAAAAAATGTAGAACTGACTCCTTCAACCCCTGGACTGTTTCAGCTTACGTAATAAACCTGCACCCAAGACTAAATAAACAAAATCTGCTATCCTACGGTTTTTATCTTGTGTTAAGTGATGATTTCTGCTAAATCTAGAAAAAAAACTTCCACAGAATTTAATTTAACAATTAATTTATCAAGCCACTAAATAAATTACTATTTTCCTTCTACGGTGCTTTTTTTTTCTAGAAAATTCTGATTTAATGATATTTCAGTCCTACTGCAAACCAAAATAATCATACTAATTTAAAATCCCTATCATGGGTATTATGTGAATAGACAGTCCTACAGCACACGTCTATCTGTCAAGCACTGTGCAGGGATTTTGTTTGAAACAACCATTTGTCATGAAAAAGAAACTCAGAATTCTGTATGAAATTGGAGCAGCCTTGTGGTCTGAGCATTTCGTGAGATTTTAATGCAAAGATCTGGCAGTCCTCAGAAGTCCACAGTCCAAAGTACTGAACTTCACCAAGGTGGGTGTACCTTTCTTTCTTAATGAAGCAAATTGTCATTGGAAAGAGACTTATGTGTGGATAAATGACAGTAGCTACCAGAAAATAGCATCTGATTGTTAGATTCAGTGCACAGAAAGCAAATGGAGGACAACTTAATACCAAACACTTTATTACTTATGCATGTTATTTACATTATTTACATATTGCACATTAGCTGGAATGTTTTATACATTTATTATATAAAGTAAATTAATGGCAGCTTGTGTCTGTGTACAAAATCCATGCTCCACTGTCCCCAAAAATATTTCTACTTGGAATTACATTTCTGGTTGTCATGCAATTAGTACTCCCAGGGTACAATGTGACCCCAATGCAAGTTTGTTTTAACCAAACTTTAAAAAATTTGCATAAGCATGAAGGATATCAAGTGACCACAACTACTGTGGAGCAGATCTTTAGTAGTTCTAAATATACTAACAAACATTCCTTAAAACTGTAGAATTAAGCAATAGAACATCAATTTTCTTGGTGAAATATTTGTGTTTATGTAATTTTTGGCAGCATTACACATCAGTTGTGGTGTGTTTTTAAGTATGGAACATTATGTATTACTGGCAGTTATGCTACTGTAAAGAGAATGTCAATCTGCAAACTTGACAACATACAAAATACTTGTTAAAAGAATTATGGGAAGTAGTCAGTCAATTTGCAAAAATAAATCTCTTGTTCACAATGGGATATGTTATAAAGGTAATAAGTTCTATTTCCCTGTTGGTTTCCAAGGCACTTCTCTTGATTCTTGATGTTTCTTTTAATGGTAACAGTACCTGGTGGATAAAAAAAAAAAAAGAAGAAGAAGAAAAAAATTGCCTGTTATCATTTTTATACTTAGATAAAAGTGTTTTAATTATGTTGTTAGCATAGCTAAAATAGTAAGTAAATAATACTGCAGAATTCAATAATAAATCTTCACAAAGATCTAATAGTGTGTGTAGCTCTACTAAATTAAGTGTTTTGTTTTGTTACTCAAGGCTGAGTTCTGGAAATCATTCTTGTGTTTGTGCTGGTTCATTTCAGGTAGATAGAAGAGACTGGAATACTGCAGTTCTACCAGTTGATAACATGCTTGTAGGTAAGTTTAGCCTGTACCTACATCTGCAGCAGTGAGGTCAAAAAGTGAATAAATGAAGATAGCATTAATAGATTGCAAATTTCTTTCATAATGCCTTGCTGTCAGGAAGCTGTTGGTACAATGTTTAGTAATATAAATCATCAAGGTAAGGTTTGAAGAATTTAGGAAGGATTTGATGTTTCATTGGGCCTGTTAGTGAAGAAATTTGGACTTAAAAACAAGAAACAAATCAAGTAATTTCTTGAGATTCAGTCATATAGCTATTGCTCCTGGAATCTGCAAATAGTGAGGCGACAGAAACTGAATAGAAGCTGCAACAGGTCAATTTGCTTCCCGTTCTAATAACTTTTCCCAGAACAGATTCTTGAAATGAAATTACAGCCATTTCTATAGCCTTGGTATTAAAAATCACTGTTAGAAAATTATAGATTTCTACATTGTGTATGCACATGTATTGTCTAGTGTAGAAATGTTAATTTTAAAGTTGTGCAGCGAAGGCTACCACAGCCCCTCTCTCCAGTCCTTTAAGCCAGTTGAGAAAATGTAATATGACCATCACTGTGTATACATCTCCAGAAATCTATCTCCAGTAAGTTCTGTTGACATTTTCCACAACTTATTTTCTAGTGATGTGACCGTAAAATGCTGCAAGTAGTGTCTACCCAACTTCACGTGTTTCTAATACCACCTGTTAATGCCCTTACTGAAGGAAAATGCCCTAACTAGAGAAAAAAGATATAAGTATGTCTTATGGATGTCAGATGTGGAAAATAAGAACAAAACAAGAGTGGATCCTCTAGTACTAGAGTTCTGCTTGATGCCACTTTTCATAGTTGTAATTTTCATATTTTGTATCTGAACATACTTATCTCTGTACGATCAATGTGAACTCTGATATTTTGAGTTTCTCTACATTTTCTACTGCTTAAGTGTAATTTGTAATGGTATCATTTGAATGCAAAGTCAGACTTGATGTAACCCTTTGAAAATCAAGCTATTGATGCATACAGAAATACTCGTTAGTATTATTTAAGCGTATATTTAATTCTGCAATGTTTTTGAAACTGTTAGGAAATGTAATAATGTTACAGACAAGCTTAATATAATTTAGTTTTCTTCTGGCTTTGTAGATAGAACAAATATTTATTTTATGTCCTGCCTTAGAAGGGAAAGTTATATAAATTTTGTCTTGCATTTTGATCTGTTTTCCATATGTGTGTCCATACTGTGCTCTATTTAAAGTGAAAAGTGATGTCTGAAAACAAATTAATGTGCTTTTAGTCTGATTAGAGTGTGATACAACTGACAAGTTAAACACAGAATTTAATAGTTTGTTCATTACTAATGGGAATATGCAGCTTACCAAGGCTGGAAAAACTAGAACTGATTGAACTGATTTGAACTTTACCTGCTCTTGTACAGATGCCTGATCAAAGTCTGTGGGTCTTAGATTCTCAGTGCTCAGGTAAATTTCAGTAAATTTCTAAATCTGTAGTTTTAGTTTTCTAAATCAGAGTTTTAGCCTTAATCAATCTGTTGCTGTACTTTTAAAAATTTCTTATAATCTGTGTTACATGCATCAGTCTAGAAAAATTAGACTGGAGTTTAGGATAGTCAAGTAGTATTGCTAGTGGAGATCCTGAATTGCTACTTGACTGCAGTAGGCATACAGCTCCTTTTTCTTTGACTCTTATTTTTTGTTTTCCTTTGCTAATGCAAATAGTAATAATAATAAACGTGCTGTAAAGGCATATTACTGCTTTCCTCATTTGGTTCTATTCATTATCTGTGCATGATGTTAATTCTGAGACAAAAAAATACAAGAGAGGAAATTAATGTTTTAAATATCAATATAAATTGTAAAACATTGCACCAGTAGGGCTCTGTGGCAGAATTTCCATTTGCTAATGTCTGAAATTTCTTTTCCTTTCCCATCAATCAGTACCCAGGTGGAAGGTGGCTCTAGTGGGAGCATCAGGTCACAGAAGTCCATACAGCAAAGATAAAGCTGTTAGTGTTACATCTGGTGCTAGCCACAGATATCCCCTAGTAATTCAAAATTGCTTATTAACAAAGTTGAACGATACCACAGTGGTAACCAAGTATGCAGGCTACCTACTTAGTTCAAAGCAGTGGTTCTGATAAAGTCTTAAATTAGTTTCCTTGGGAATTATTTCCTGCCACTGAGCAGAAGTGATTTGATATGTCATGAGAAGTTGTATGTGACAGTTCAACATATACTTTCCAGAAAAAACGGGTTTGTTTTCACTGAATAATATGCAAAACTCACATCTGAATCCCAATTTCACTTCCTTTAAGAAATGAAAGTGCCTGTGATGTTTCCTCAGTGCACTTGGTCTTAGTCTGAATAAGAAACTGTAAGAAAGCAATTAAAGACTGCTGTTCCACAGTTAGAAAACACTTGAAGCAAAACTTAAGAAAGAATCCAATATTTTTGCTTAAAGATCATTTGAAGTAACACTTATACAATATGGTGTTCAGGATTGGGATGTCTGGTGTGGTATTTGTTTTCCCTGTATGTATTTAAAGTTTCCAAATTTCTCTTGTACTGTCAGCTTTCTTAACATACATTATGGTTAATGAGTATGATTAATGAGTATGGTTAATGCATCTTAAGAAGTTTACAGTTTTTTATTTTCCAAAGAAATTTTTAGTTATCAGTATGCTTTAGCTTACTAGGATTTTTATAAAGGATTTTTTAAATCTTTTACCTTCTTATGTATGTATACTTCTTCTTGCCCTGTACTGTGCATTATTAAGCAAGAAACATTGTCTTTATTGCTTTTATTTAAAATATTGCTAGTTGTATCTGCTTTTCTGGGGAATGTATAACCAGTAGATTTTTCATGTACTTTTTGTATTACAGTTCCCTTTCTCACTCTTCAGTCTTGTATTTAGTAGTTTAAAACTGTATAACTAGCTTTATCTTATTCATTATTAGCAACTGAAGAAACTTAAGGGAAAAAAAAAGTTAATATATAAGCACTTGTGTGCAAGCACTTAGAAATATGTAATCATACATTCAGTTGCAGTCCTTAGTCCTTAAGGTACCAGGAGGTGTTAAGAATTTATCATGAGATCACCACTGGTCTCTAGCAAACACCCGGTCATGGAAACGGAAGAGTGCCAGTAGCAGCACCTTGTGGTTTTCAAACAAATGTAGTAAAATGTGAAAATAGTAACATAAAACTAGTTAGAGGTGAAACTAGTGGCAAACAAGGAGTACAGTCTGGGTTACTTATCAAAAAGGGGACTATTGAGTGATGTGTTAATGTAGACATGCTGCTCTGGATTGAGTGATGCTCTCTGAACGTGTAAAAGGCATCTAACTAGGACTCTGCATTGCTCAGATATTTGGGACAAGTGAACATTGAAAGTATACTCTAAAAAATAGACAGGAAAGGAAGCCTAGTTACATATATGTAGGATAAATGAGACAAAGAACATGTTCTCTACTAATTAGGAATTTGTATGAGATTTAGAATTGATACTAACCAGTAGCTTTATGGTAGAAACAAAAAATTGTACATTTCCAGGCTATTAAAAAAAGTCTTAAACTAGAGAGCCGTCTTAAGCAAGAATAGTTTTGAAGTTTTGTCTTGCTATGTTCAAAACTTTAAAACTACTTGAAAACCCTCTGTGGACAAAAATGATTGATTGTTATGTGGAAAAATACAAGCCAAACCCAACCCATACCTTTTTCTACAGCTCAATCCATGAAATGATTAAAACAAATAAAGCCTGCTTTGTACTTGCCTGTGTGAGTGATGTGTTACCTACACAAAAATGAACTGATCCAGTGGAAAACATTTGGGTAGAAAAGATGCTTCATCTTATGGGGACACCAGTGGATCACAAGGCACGTGTGATAAAGAATAGCATTTCTCTCCACTAATAAGTGTTGCTTAAGAGTTCTGATGCTATTATTTGTGTATCTTTGTGGAGGAATACAGAAGAGGAGACTTGTGGAGACTTTCAAACATGCAAGTCAGCTGAGCAAAGGAGTTGCCTGGCAAAATAAGATGGATGGAGTTTTTCTAAAAGACTTTCACACTGAGTGAGAACTATTATAGTTACTAGTTTGTGCTTTCAGGGCAGGATGTAATGATACAGATGGAACTTCCAAAAGAAGGGAAGAAAAAAACTCTACTCCTATGTATCTGCTTGCTAGTCTTGGTAATAATACTAGTCACTTGCCTGTCACTGGTGAATATTATTATATAATAGCCAATTTGTTCCTTCCTTTCCTTGAAATGAAAGGTAGAATCCCTGGAATTCCTTCTAGTTAGGTCAAGAGATTTACCAATTTGCTAGCTTTTGTCTTACTACCATATGCAGTTGTTTCCATGATTCCATCCCTGAACACATGGTGTTAGGGTAAAAAGATTCCTTTCTATGGCTGCATGTTTCAAACAGTGACATCAAGTCATGTAACAGTCATTAGCACTTAGAAACCTTCTGCTTTGAAGCTGGGCTGCTTTAGGAAGTCAGGCAGAAAATACTAACAGGAATGTTAAGGTTAGCCTGAAGTCAGAATGCTGAATTATATCTAATTATTTAATATATTATTTCTGCTCTTGCCATTAGAGGAGTGTTTTTTAAAATCTAGTTGGAATCCTCTCTTGAAAATTTAAGCAAATTACATCTTATTTAACCACACTGGGTGAAGAGAATGGCTTATGAAACCTTTTATGAAACTGAATAGCTCAATTATGTTTTCAAATGCTTATCTTTTCTTCCCAGTTCCTTTTAGCTGTTCTTGTAAATTATGTTTTCTTTGGTCATGCATGTTGCTCTTTTTCAGACTCTGACCAAGAAGCACCTGTATGCCTTCAAATGTGGGGTCCTCAATTAGATGCAGTATTCACAGTGATTATTTCAGGTGTTTGATAAACAATGTTTCCATTTATAAGTTCCATCTTGTCCTTTACCTTGTTTTCAAGTGTGACACGGTTGACTCATGCTTAGTTTGTGATCCACTATAATCCTTACACTTTCTACAGAACCATCTATCTAGTAATTCATAACTTGCCGTATATTTCTGCAGTTGACTTCTGCTCCTTGATTTCTTAATTCTGCTTTCCCTCATATTTTATCCTTGTTCTAAACTATTCAGCTAATTTTTCAAGACTATTTTCAATTTCAGTATTCTTTGCTGGTTGTGTCTGCTGCTCTGCTGTCATCAATAAGTATACTAACTAATACTACAAACAAAATAATGAAAATGCTGGCCAATGACATATCTATAATGTATCTGTGTGACCCTGTTCAATACAGTCTTCCAGTTTGACACTGCAGCACTAATAATGTGAATGTTTTTCCAACCATTTTTCCATTTTTTTTTTAATAACATCTCCCTCACTGGCTTCTGAGAACACCATGCAAAATAGTTTCTGTGCTTCAAAAAAATAAACTAAGATTCTTAAGATTATTGCTTTTCTCAGTGACTGTGTAAGATATATATCTTCTCCTAAAGTATCTGATAACATTTGTTACTGACAAATCCATATGGGTTGTTACTTATTCCTTTGTCAAAGGTCACATTTCTGTCTCAAGCAAAAACTGAGGACAGAATTTAAATTTGTCCTTTTGTATCAGTTTTGTGTCAGTCTTCTAGAAGTACAGATCATTTGGAAGAACTGTTTTTTGGAGCATGCTGAGATCCCTCAAAGTACTTCTAGGAATTAGTGGTACATCTAAGCAAAAAGGGAGAGAATAACCACAGGCATGAAAATCCCAAGAAATCTGGGCAGCTTAATGTTAGTTTATCAATGCTACTAATACATTTTAAGTACCGTAAAAGCACCTGCAGCCTGTCTGCATTTATAAAGCTGTCTTGTGTGTAGCTACTTATATATTAGCTTATGCTAAAATGTATCCCGTAGATCTACAGCTGCACTCATAAAAGGGCTGCTGCTGCCAATATGAGTGATTGTATGCTGAATTAACTCTTGAAAAATAAGCTACAGCTGTCTTTTGTTCTATAACAACAAATTCACTATTTGCTAACTGTATAATGCTATAAATAATTCACAGCTGATGCATGTGGACTTATTATATAATGACTTCCAGTAGGGGGTAGCCTTTATTTACTGCTACTGTTTGCCAGATTAAGCTAGTTACTCCAGATATTCTGCAAGAGGAATATCTTATCCAAAGAAAGGTATTATGAGTTTTCATGTATGAAACAAAATCCACAGCTATGCTGTTCAGTAGAATGTCATTACTGCTCTTAGAAAAGCTTACCTTATCCCTCCATGCACATTGGGCTTACTGCCAACCGAGTAAGAAGCCTGGCACATCTTTTATAGTCTGTCATGAAAAAAGAGCATAAATACAGACATTACTAAAGCAACCGATTTTGCTTTTAAAAATCAAAGTCAATAAAGGTGTGCAGACTACTGCTGTAATTAAGTTTAATGAACAACTTAGTTTGAAACAGTATAGAAATCTGTTCCTTGGACTTAAAAAGCGAATGCGTTAAAACTTTGCAACTGAAAGTTGATCACAACAGCAGAATAAAGTATCTCTTAGTTGTTAATGCTACTAAGCTACCCAAAATACTAAAAGTTGTGACAACAAAATAGTTTTGTGCTGGCTCCCACATTGTTGCAGCATTATAGATGATTTTGTCTTTCGAATGCAGAATAATAACATAGAATGAACAGTAATCTTAACCTGAAATCAGAATATTATCAGATATCATCAGAACGTAATATTACACTGCGTGTGAAGCATTAAAGTTGTTTATTTCAGGTTTGTAGAAGACAGTTACTTTAAGAAGATGCTGGTCAGTCCAGTCCAGTGAGTGATGTTAATTTTCATTCGGCATTATTTTTATTAATTGGTAACTACATCCTACAGTCCTAGAGATGCTATGTTAAAAGTCTTTTATCTCAGCATAGATATACTATACAATTATCATTTGTACAAATTATCCTTCATTATCCAGACACTATGTTGGTAGGTATATCACCTGTCAGAAGGAAAAGGCTAGTTCAGAAATAAAAGCCAACTAGTTTTTAGCTTCACAGATTGAAGTACTTGTTAGTACAGAGTCAAATGATATTTGCAAAGTTATCCTTATGAAAAAGGTAATACGACCGTTTCCTTATTTAAAACACATTAGTTATGAACAACTCCATCTCCATTGATTTAAACCATTACATGATCTGTAAATCTTTCTATTTCCAAGGCGATCTTAATATGAGGCCTTATGAATAGGGAGAAACTCTGCAGGTCTTACCCAATATGTCTTTAAAATATATTTAACTGAAATATTTATTAATACTTGAAACTTGGAATCAGGAACTCCTGTTTCTATTCCCAGCTCTGCAGCTGACCCAACTGGTTGACCTCAGACAAGTAAAATAAAGTGTGCTTCCATTCTGAAAAGGCTGTGCTAAAACAGCATCTTATTCAATAGGTCCATCTTGGTATGAATCTGGAGTCATGTCTACAAAGTGATAAATGTTGATTTCTGATTTATTTTAAATACTCTGTGCCGCCAACACTGATGAGATATCATAATGTGAATCTGCTTCTTTGTACCCATCAGCTCATTTTTTGGAATTTTTCATTAAGCCTTACAAAGTTTTATTTTTGTAATTTACTGAAGAGAAAGGTTGCAGAGTCAACGTGACTGATAGACTGGTGACTGAACTTAGAAAATATGTGATGCCTTTAAAGCATGCTATAGAATCACATAGCAGCTGAGGTTGGCAGGGCTCTCTGGGTCCATCTGGCCCCACCCCTGCTCAAGCAGAGACACTCAGAGCAGAGTACCCAGCACATCCCAGTGGCTTTTGAAGGTCTCCATGGAGGAGATCTTGCACCCTCTTGGCAACCTGTGGCACTGCCAGATTATGTGTTCTACATAGATAATTAATGAAAAGGAAATAGCCCCAGCTGGATTCCTGTTTCTATTTTGAATTTGCAGCACTAGAAGTTAAATATGATAGGTTTAGGAGACAAGTCGTGTTCCTATGAAAAATGCACCTTTGATTTCGAACAAAAAAGGTGTATGCATAAATAGCTGAGGAAGCAATGTTTACAGTCATTCTGCACAGTCTGTTCACAGCTAAAAAGTTGTCTTGCCATTTCCCCTCACTGTAATATTAATGCTGAAGAGCACTGCAAGAATGACAGAATGGCCAGGGTTGGAAGGGACCTCAAGGATCATGAATCTCCAACCCCCCTGCCACACGCAGGGCCATCAACCCCCACATTTAATACTAGAACAGTACTCTTGCACTGTGTCACAACTGGTATTCCATAGAGTTACTCTACTTTAGAGTTCTCTGTTGTTTTATGAAAATTAGCCTTTGTTTTTAGCACTTACAGGCTGGGATGGTGCAGTCCCTTGTATTGTGGTAAAGCCGATGAAAGTGTTTACTACATTTTGGGCTGAAGTAGAGTGGACCTGAAAGAGAAGGAAAAACTAACTTAAGAATCACCGTGGCTTGCAGGAGGAACAGCACAGCTTATGATATTTATGCAAAAAAATGGACACCAATGCAAAATTAAAACATACCTGTTAAATGCTTTAAAAACTTGTCTTTCATCCTCAGATCTCTGGGAACTATTTCTGATGGAAAGAAAAAAAACATAGTCACTGCTGTAGGGACGGTTCTTGGCAAGTATGGGAAGAAGGAATGAATTGTGACCAGCACCTCTTGACAGATGCACAGGAGTCAAAGTTATTTGCACGCAGTAGGCCAAGTGCCAAACACTTGTTTTACCTTCAAAGCCACTGTGAAACACACTGTGATATGAAACAGGTGATGTCTATTAGGTGTGCAGTCATCAACAGTGTTGACAGATAACTAACAATCAGAGTTTAGCTCTCCATAAATTGCGTTTTCTCATTTACCTACTTTAAAACCTCTACAAAATTTTGATTCACAGTTACTGAGAAATGGATTATTCTAATACTGGTAAGGATCCAAAGGTAAATTCAGGTTTGGTTCCATGCTTCGTCTTCCAATTTTCTTATGCAAACACCATATCTGTTCTTTTGTTAGAGGTGTGTTTGTATGAGCACTGTCCTGCTGCAATCATGAAACTGGATTGATCTACTTACAGGAATTTTTTTTTTTTTTTTTTTTCTTCCCCCTCAAGCTGTAAATAAAATTCACAGGAAATGATTCCAAGCAAATCACTCTCTTCTGGCTCTCTGTATTTGTGGTTTACCACCTTGCATATTGTGTTCAGCAGATGGCAAAATGAAACTGGTTTACTGAAATCCATTTTAGCCCTAACCCTTCCCTGTGTCTTCCTGATTTACAGCTATCTTTGATTGCTTTCCGTTACAAACTCAGTGCTGATAGCAGAGTGCTGCTTGTGTATGATACCCTGCGTGGTGCTTTATTTATTTGACCATAAATGCTTGAGCAGCCTTTTTCATTCCCCTGCCACCTCTTATCAGATATAAAGCAGAGAACATTTCCATCCAGATCTGATTCGCTTGTGAGGTTCAACACTTCTCGAAAGTCATTCTTCATTTACTTCTAACTTTAGTCAGTGTAAGTAAAATTGACCTTATCATATTTGACCTAATTATGTCATGAAAAGCATTAAAGCCACACATGCTTCACTCAGAAATTTCCCAGGGGACAGACTCACTGGGAAAGTGATGCCAAAACTGAAATGAAGAACTTTAAGCAGTAGTTTCTTTTCCAAGTTGCTGGGAATAACTCTGTTATGACAGAATGAAAGCTGCTTCTGAGGAGTCAGCGACACTGGTACCAATGTTTCTCTTCTGTTTTGGTTTTACATCTATATAGATAACTGATGGGTACAAGCCAAATATTTTGCACCTATGTGCTGATGTAGGATGGCCAAGAACTGCTAGTGTTTCAAGTTGAGTTGTGCATGTTAGGGTTCAGTGCTCAGCCTGGTGTAACTTTTCAATATTTATAAAACAACATGTTCTCACTGCTCTGATCTCAAATGGAACAAAATTCTCTTCTTTTGTATATTGGTTGATCATCCAGATGAGGAAATAACATTTTCATGACAATCGCCAACAAATGCAAATCATGAGGATATTTGAATATGAATGAGTAAAGAAAAGGTACAGAGGAGCTCTATGAGATCAATAAAGGCAAAGTAACATACTAGCAAAATAAAAGACAGATTGGAAAAAGGTGAGTAGACATCTGCTGGAAAGTATTCAGAAAGTTACTTTCAGTAGGAGGGGTAAGATAAACAGCAATGCTCCAGGGGTTTGGGAGTGAACAATAAATGAGACATGGTAGCAGAAGCCACATCAGCTTGCAGCTGGATGCACAGAAGCACACCGTGAAACCTAGCTGTGGACTTCCACCCACCCCTCTGTGTTTGGAATGACTGCTTCCGGACTGCTGCGGACATCCAGCCCTGGATGGCCATCTTATGGACAAATGGAACCTCATGGAGGTCACAGAGGAGCCACTCAGCTGAGCAGAACTGACCGAAGGAGTGACTGAAAGCATTCAGAGCTTGCATGATGACAGAGGAGTACTTTGCTGCAGTTCCCTACCACCCATCAAATGTGTTACCTTCAGAGTACAAATGGGACTGATTAAAGCTGGGCAAAAACTGAAATGAAACGACAGAGTTCCTGGTATCTATCACTGCATGGGCATAGAATCCTGCAGGGGAATCGCTACTAGAGTGATTTCCACTTAAACCAGGTATGTTTTAAAAAATGTAAACTAACAAGAGAAGGAACATTTTCGTAGCTTCTTTGATCTCACACATTTCAGTCTTTTCCCTCGTTAGCAGGTTTTGTTCAAAACCCACACACAGGAAGTCAGACTCAGATGAGTACATTGTCCAGAGGGTACAAGACTCAGATTTGAATGGAGTTTTTCTATTCCAAATGTGCCGCCTGCGTCAGTTTCTGATACCAAAGTGAGGCTGCAGGTATTTTGGGTGGTGAATCCTCGTTCTAAAATTGGTAACCTGATGTCTGATTCCCCAGTGCCCTCCGCAACGACAAAGATCTAAGCCACGGGTTGGGACTTACCAACTCTCTGCTCATCCTGGTATCCTCCGTAGTCAGCCACTTCCCTCCGATCCAAGCTGTAGTCGTGCTTGGAGAAGTACTGCACCCCACTGCCCTTCTCCAGGCGGTACCTCTTCAATTCCTGAATGATCTCCATGATGAGATTTAAGAGACTTTGCCTGTCCTTCAGATCCCCGGCGTCGGTTTTCTCTTTGCAGTATCCCGCCGAGAGCACCAAGAGCACCAGCCCCAGCAGCCCAGGAGACCTCAGTCCGCTCATCGCCGGCTGTCCTGCGGGCTGAGCGCGCCGGCGGAACGGAACGGGAGCTTCCCTGTTTCACTGCGAGAGAACAACAGCGGGAGCGGGTCGGAGGCGGGCGGCTCACGGGGGTGAAACGGGGAATATCGGGGCGAGCGGGGAGACCGCTCCGCAGGTCGCATAACGGGGGGAGCCCAACTTTCACAAGTTGGCAGCTGGCTGAGCAGCGCGGGGCCCGGCAGCACCTGCCCGCAGCCCGCCCGCGGCTGCCGCCCCGCGCCGCCGGCGTTCGCTCCGGCCGCGTGTGCGCTGCCCGCCGGGCGGCTCCGTGGCGGCTGTCAGCCGGCAGCGGCGGGAGCGGGACGGGGAAAGGAGGGCGGCCGCCCCGCGCCGCGTTACCTGCGTGTCCGCTCCGAGGCGAGCTGCGTGCCCCCGGGCAGCGGCGGGGAGTCTTGGTTGCCGGCGGCTCGCCGCCCCCCTCTCGGCCCTCTGCTCCCTCCGCATCCAACACCTTACTCCATCGCCGCCAGCCCCGGCGCACCGCTTATATAGGCTATAGGATGGCCATGAGACGGCAGATAGTATCGACTTGGAAGTGGGTGGAAAACAATAAAAGTCCACTTGGCAACCTCGGGAGCGTCGCCGCCGCACTATTCCCCCCCCCCCCCCCCCCCTTCAGCCCTGCCCTCGCCGCTCCCGCCCGGTCCCCCCGTCCCTCCCCCGGCGCTCGGGCAGGGCTCAGTCACCGCTCTCCGACGTAAGGAGACGGTCCCCAGCGGGCGTGTGCGGTGCGAGGGGGCGGCGGCGGGGAGGTGAGGAGGGGGGGGAGCGCCTCGCCCCGGCCTTTAATTAGAAACGCGCGGAGCAGCCTCTGCAATATTCATGGCCCTGGCGCGGCTCCCGCCCGGCGCTCCCCGGCCGCGGGGCCGCTGCCCGCCGTCACCCGCCGGGGGCCGCGCGGCGGGGGCGGGCGGGGAAGCCGCGTGTTTACCAGGAACTTCGGGCTCGGGGAAGGGGAGGCGGTGGGGCGCCGTCGGGGAAGAGGAAGCCTATTTCTGCTCCCGCCGGCCGGGAAGCCCGCGCAGAGGTGGCGGAGCGGGGTCTGGCTGTGTTCTCGGCGCGGGCAGCGCCGGGCGGCGGGGCGGCTTCCTGGGTCGGCGCTGCCTGGAAGCTCGGGGATGGGGACGGAGAGGGACGAGGGCTCGGCACGGGGCTGCGGGGCAGCGCCGTGTCCCGTGAGCGCCGTGCCGCACCGCCGGGCAGTGCCGCCGCGATCCTCGGCGGGTCTGTGCACGGCTGAGCCCCTCGGAACGTGTGGAGCTGGAGGGAAACGCGGATGAAACTCGATCCGGCTGAACTTTTCTATTTACTTTGATTGTGTGTATAAACCTCTCCCTTG